ACACACACACACACACACACACACACACACACACACACACACACACACACACACACACACACACAAACTATTACAGTATGAGTGCAAAAACACAAGCTACTCATCCATCAGAACTTCATGTTTTGTGCCAATTTCCAGCGCTGCTCACATCCAAAGTCCTAGCACTACACTCACACTGCCCTCTCCTCCCCTTCTTTTTTTGAGCATTTTGAGCATTTTTCTTTGCTTGCTTAACATAATTTAAAATGACTCTCACCTGGCTTACTATACTGGAAAACCAAATTGTTTATTTTGACAGGTTCGGACATTTCAGACAAATGACTGGGAGTATAGGATTAACAAGTAACTAAATTCCCAGCATGCAAATCCAACATAAAAACTTTTCAGAAAAGTTGCCCTTTTTTACTTAGTGGAGTTTGAAATAGCTAATCATTTGCAGCAAAAAGTAAATTAGTAAGGAAAATCTATACAGTATTAAAAAAAAAATACATGACATTACATTCCTGTGTCAGGTGACCTCAATAGATCACATGATAGGATCTCACAGTGGTTCAGCCGAAACATCTGGTGGTAATGATCCACACCTTTTTTCACACCTTGGCTCACATGATGAGGCACTTGATAAATAAGGGATAACCAAGCTTCTTTGATCAGAGGGCATTATTGTTAAAGGCACGTCTATATAAAATAGAAAATAAAATAACAATAATTTGGCTTTCCAACAATGGCATCATTAGGTTTATTTTTCATCTACATCAAATGGACAAACCCCAGGTTTTGGCAAAGGGTGAATATTTCTCTGGGTCTTAAGGAAAACGAAAAATAGTTTGTTGGTTGACTTGTTGAAAAATATTATTATATCTTAAAAGTCCATGTCACAATTTAGTGACCATAGGGATAGGGATCACATGTGAATATCAGTGCAGAGAAGCTTAAATTGCTAAATGCAATGTAAAGTATACAATTAGTTTCCACTTCATTTATATTTCTTTTATAAAGTAATTCTGTATGCACCACTTTCAGTCTAATAACAAAATATTATTACACAGGCAGTGACGGAATTCTCCACATACAGTAATGCACTGACAATCAAGATACAAACTTACCACAATTCAACTACACACACTCAACACAAATATTGCTTGAGAGAGCTATAGCAGAAATGTGCCAGCCCTCTGTAGGCCAAAAAAAGTCTGTGATAGTAACTCATATTCATCAAACCTAATTTAGGATATATCTCTAAGCCCTTTGCCCCATCTTTGCCTACATTTTGTCAGGCCAGAAGTCCACACAGGCCAGTTCTGCAGTATGTTTACATAATTACATAAGTTCTTTAGGGATTATTAAAGTATTCTGATTCTAATGTTTATTGCAAAAAACTGTCAGTCTTTTGGTGACAGACAATCCAATGATAACAATAGACATCTGTACATGTATTACAAAAAACGACTTTCTCCAGTTTTACATGTTTCATAGTGTACCGGCAAATGACTCAATAGTTTTGAGATTTGAACTATATCTATTCAAAGTGTAGTGATCTTCCATCCATTAGAGCATCTTTAGTTTTTCTCCAGTACTTGGTACCTCGTAGATCTATTTGTTCTCATGAGCTGTTTCACCATCACAAACAACCCAATCTGCAGGAGAAGAAAGAAAAAGAGCAGGATTTTGGTTATTGGCAAATAATCACCTTCTGCAGCCTGTGTTAAACATGTGTAAGAATTTATAATTAAAAGCTCAATCTAACACCACTAAATGAAGTAAAACCATTTATAAATTGCATGATGCAGATGCAGAAGATGTTTAGGTGGATTTATCATTGTAACAGATGAGCTTTTATGTCGTTAACCACCTTAGTTAACATGTGTGATGTAGAGAAAATGGAGTGTAAAAAGTTTAAATATTCATTAAAATGTGACACATTTTAAAGATTTTAATAAAAAACTATCAAATTATTGTTCATGTTTTTAACGACTGCTTTAAACAACATTTTTATTTTGCCAATGGAATAAATAACACTATATGTCAAATGGACTTCCACACAGGCAGTGATAATGGTGCGCAGTGAAATGTTATTTCCAATGTCATAAGCTTAGGACCTGAAAGTTGTTGAGCTTTACTCGGCATCCAGCTGGCAGCACATCTTTGTAAACAGTCCTTAATGTTAAAAGGTTGCTACTAATTGAGTTGGATTTTAGATTTTTTTGTTTGACAAAATAGGTCAATTCAATATGTCAGTCCAGGCTTTGGAAATTTTGTTGTGCATTTGTCTATTTTCTGACATCATACTGGTTATTAATCTCTTGTTCTTTTCCACAGCATGTGGAAGAAAGATGGCCACCCTTCCCTGAGCCTGGCCTGCTGGAGGTTTCTTCCTGTTAAAAGGGAGTTTTTCCTTCCCACTGTCACCAAAGTACTTGCCCATAGGGGGTCATATGATTGTTCGGTTTTTCTCTGTATGTATTATTATAGTGTCTCCCTTACAATATAAACCACCTTGAGGTGACTGTTGTTGTGATTCGGCGCTGTATAAATAAAATTGAATTTACATATTAGATATTGTGCTAAATATTTGGCCAAACTAAAATTAAAGATAAGATTAAAGCTTGCTCTCATGATAACAGTCTCCCAGTGTTTCATTTTTCTTTCAGGTGTGCATTTTATATGCAATGTATACACAATATGCAGTTCAGAAATGTTTA